CCTTCTTCAGAAAATGGGGTCTAGGCCCGAAACGTCAGCCTTCCTGCTCCTCTGATGCTGCTTGGCCTGCTGCGTGTTCATCCAGCTCTACACCTTGTTATCTCAGATTCTCCAGCATCTGCAGTTCCTACTAGCTCTGTTAGATGATCTGTTAATACAAGCAAAGGAAATTCACATTAGAAAACAATACACCCTGCACTATCAAATCAAAGAAACCAATAGCTAGTAGGATGTAGAGGATGGATGGACCTGATCTGTTGTGATTTAATTGAATGTGATTACAGTGTTAAGGTTCAGGAGTACACACCATCTTAGTGTCTCCTCTGCCAAATTCCACACTAACTACTGCTGGTTAATGACCATTACCCTGTAGAAACAGCAACCTAAAAAGTTATCAAAATCACAGTGATTAGCTAATTTATTGCTGAGAAAAGGGTGAGAAGAGACTAAGAAAGGCAGACAGTGCAAGTGTTAGACCTTGTAATCCAACTCTGCATTCATTTTGGTGTACATCTCATAGATTGCATCAATAGTCACAGTGAAGTTGACTAAAAACTGCCTGATTTTCTCTATACATTCTTCTTCTTTCACCTCTCTGCCCTTCGACAGGGCCTTCATAAAGTCTGATTTATATGGTGCGGCATAAACTGCGGCCTGCAAAAGCAAACAAAATACACAAGGTCAGGTCACATGCTGCAGTCAACACTTCAAAACCTTAGCCCTCAGCGTATCCCAATTGCTGTGTATCCTGACTAACTGGTCACCCACACCTGCTGGGGCTGGCCACAAATTGCATTAGTAATTCCAAACTCATTTGTTAAGGGAAGAAATTAAAATTTCAGACAGTTATTTCATACTGAATGTTTGAACTGAGAACATTCCAATTCTGATGAAAACCTGCTAGTTGGAACAATTATGATGGAACAGAATTTCCTTGAAAAGGTGCTGAGATAAATGGGTGATCTCCTTGAGGTTCCAAATCTACCGCAAGGCCACCAGAAAAACAAACAGTCAGTCTGCATGCATGAACCCATGTCCAAAAACCAATGTATGCCTTCTCACTTCCTGGAAATGGCGAACAAACGTAGTTGCAACATGTGTGAGCTCTTTCAAGAATGGAAGAGTGAATGCAAAAAAAAAAAAACACTCACAGAAAAAAGTCTTTGTACAATCCAGCTGTGGTACTTCTTCAAGGTCAACTCATATGCTTTTGTAGCATTGACTCGAATGAGGTTTGGGTTTGAATCATCCCGCTCCCCATCTGCGATGCTTTGCAGCATAACTTGTATGAACTTCAGACCCCTGCAAAAATAGATAGTCTAGTCAATTAAAATTATATGACTGTACAATGTTCAGCTCCTCAGATACTGAAGCAGCCCCTGTTCAAATGCAACAAGATCTGGACATTATCCAGGCTTGGGCTGACAAATAGCAAGTAACATTTGTCCCACATAAACACTAATGACCATCTCCAATGAGCAACAATTTAACAATCAGCCCTTGAAATTCCACCATGTCACCATCATTGAATCTCCCACTGTCAACATCCTGGAGGTTACCATTGACCAGAAAGTTAACTGGACTTGCCATATAAACTGTGGCTATAACAGCAGGTCAGAGGCTAGGAATACTGTGGCAAAGCCTGTCCACCATCCACAAGGCACAAGTTAGGTGTCTAACGAAATACTCCCCACTTGCCTGGATGAGTGCTGCTCCAACAACACTTGAGAAGCTTGACACCAACCAGGACAAAGTAGCCTTCTTGACTGTAAACGTGCCAAACATCCACTCCCTCCATCACCAACATGCAGTAGCAGCAGTCTGTACAATCTACAAGATGCACTGCAGAAATTCAAAGATCCTCAGACAGCACCTTCCAAACCCAGAACCATTTCCATCATGGACAAGGGCAGCAGATAAATGGGAACACCAGTACTTAGAAAGTCCCCTCCAAGTCACTCACCATCCTGACTTGGAAATATCACTGTTCCTTCATCATCACTGGGTCAAAATCCTGGAATTTCCTTCCTTAGGACGCAGTGGGTCAACTCACAGCACACAGACTGCAACAGTTTAAGGCAGCAGCTCACCACCATCTTTCAAGGCTGGCAAAGGATGGGCAATAAATGCTAGCCAGCCAGTGACACTCATGAATGAATTTAAAAAGTATATACATTAGGCTCAGTTTAACATGGAGCTTATTCTTACCAACTGGACAGAAAAGCTGATTGTGGCCAAGCCATATGACATTTTGTCAAAGGTGGCTTTAACAACCAGAGGGTCAAACCTATGGCCTTCCTTGACAGAAAGTTGTTGATTGTAGGACTATCAGCCAATTTGTCTCGACAGCAGACCTTATAAACTGCTCCATAAAAAGTGAACTCAAGCTGCTCTCCAGGTACTTGAGCAAGTCTTACCAGCTGACAATTCAACACAGTAGGAAGTGCACCTGTCCAAAAGGGCCTGGGGGTGCCCTTGCACATAAGTCATTAAAAATGAACGTGCAAGTGCAGAAAGCAATTGGGGAAGGCAAATGGTATGTTGACCTTTAGCTCAATAGAATTTCAGGAAGGAACAGGACAAGACAGTCCTGCCTTCAATCGTATAGAACGTTGGTGAGACCATACTTGGGAGTTACCCCAACATCTGGATCCCCTTACTTAAAAGGATATATTTTCAATAGAGGGAGTAGAATGGAGGTTCAGACTAAATACTAGAATGTCAAGTCTGTCCTATGAGGAGAGATTTAGGAGAGTGGCCTGCATTCAACATGAAGATGAACTCACTGAAGCACGAGAGATATAGAGAGACAGAAACACAGCCACAGACAGACCAGGAGGTGGTGTGCAGGAGGGGCAAGAAAGTTGGCCTAGAAATCAGGGTCCCAGTCTCACAATAAGGGGCAACCTGTTTACGACTGGGATGAAGAGGTACTCTTCACATTAGTGAATCTTTGGAAGTTCCATCCCAGGTTGCTATGGAAGTAAGGACAAATACGTCAGACTCCTGCTCATTGAAGACTGAACTGTAGTCAACACCATTATCTCCTCCAGACTGATCTCAAAACTCTGTGACCTTAGTCTCAGCTCCACCCTCTGCAATTGGATCCTCAGGTTTTTGATCCACTGACCGAAATCAGGGAAGATAGGTAAATGCACCTCCTCCACAATAACACACAATACTGGCGACCCCAAGGATGCACCCTTTGCCCCCTACTGTACTCCCTGTACACCCATGACAGTGTTGTCAAATTCCAAATGAATGCCATCTACAAGTTCGCTGATGACACCACCTTAGTGGGACAGATATCTAACAACGACAAGTCAAAATACAGAAGGGAGGTAGAGGGCTTGGTGATGCAATGAGAACAACCTCTCTCTCAACATCAGCAAAAACTAAAGAATTAACCATTGACTTCAGAAAGGAAGGAGGAGAACACACCCCCATCTACATCAACAGAACTGAGGTTGAGATGGTGGAGAGTGTCAAGTTCCTCGAAGTGACGATAACTGACAACCTGTCCTGGACTTCCCATGTTGATGTGATGGTCAAGAAGGCACAACAATGCCTCTTCTTCCTCAGGCATTTCAGGAAATTTTGCAAGTCCGTAAGGACCCCCACCAACTTCTACAGGTGCATAATTGAAAGTATACTGTCCAGGCACGTAACGGCTTGGTATGACAACTGCTATGCCCAGACCCATATGAAACTACAGAAGGCGATGTGCACAGCCCAAACCATCACTGGAGCCAACCTTCCATCCATGGACTCCATTTACGCAGCTCATCGCACCCTGGTAATAATCTCCTATAATCTCTTCTGTCAGGCAGAAGATACAGAAGCCCGAACACACGCACCAACAGGTTCAGAAACAGCTTCTTCCTGGTCTTTCTGACTGATGAATGGACTCGCTAGCCTCAAAAATGCTGATCTTTCGAACGTTGACCTCAGCTAACGCATGCCTTGTGCGATGTAACCTATAAGACTCTCGAGTCTTTTTGATTTGTACTGCCTTGTTAACTACGATCTGCTGCTACTGCTCATAAACAAAGCTTTTCATTGTACTTCAGTAGATGTGACAATAAATATCAATCAAGCTCAGTCACAGTACCTTCCAGATAACAATCAATAGATTTCTGGATACTAATGACATCCACAGATATTGGGAAAATAGCATTAATTCAGATGGGCAGCCACAAATCAAGACCTGCAGATCAGACTCAAGGGGCTAAATGGCCTGCACTTGTTCCTATGGGGCACAAGGGACTGCAGTACTGTTGCAGGTGTCATCATTTGCCCGAGATAATTAGTGCAGTCTGTTTGCACTCTTGCCTGGACATAAAAGATTCCACGAAACTTGTAAAAGACGAGTAGGGAATTTTGCTATTTCCCTGGTAAATATTTACTCCTCAACCATCACCAAGTAAAGATTAGTTGAGCTTTTACCTATTGCTGCTTGTGGGACTCAGTGCAAATTAAATGTGCATTTGCACATTTCCTAACAAGACAACAGTGACTATCTTGCAGAAGTACCTTATTGGCCTGGTTAGCTCTCTTAATTGAATAGCTGCAAAAGGTCTAAAACCCAAATGAAGGGGCACCTCCTTAGTTTTTCCAAAGATGTCACTGCAATTTGGACATCAGTAAGTAGAATGCCATTCCTTGTAATTTTTCAGAGGATTTACAACACATAAATAGGCTATTTCACCCAACTGGGCCCTGCTTATATTCCCCTTCCATTCAAGGCTTCTCCTATCCTACTTAATCTAACTATCAGCTTGCAACATTAACCGTCAAGGCATTATGCATGGATACACTTACTTAATACTGCATGTTTCTGAAAGTTTTAAATATAGTATAAACAGACTCTTTGTTAAAGCCCACAAGGGATGCTAAAGTCCACAATGGAGGTTATAAGAAATGGAAGAGGCAGAATGCACCACAGGAAAGCAGTACCACTATGTTGCTCAGGTAGATAATGGAGGCTTTAGTGCTTGATCCATCATGTTACAAGTTTCCAAAGAGCAATCCAATGGCTGGGGATTTTAGTGCATATTCAACAATATGCTGTTTACGGTTGTTCTCCACATACGTCCTTGTTACTCGGTTTCTCTGTTACTCCTGCTGTTCATGACAACAAATCAATTTCAAGGTTCATTACATTGCTGATCTAGTGACTAATGATTTGGATGAGGCACTATCTAAACAAGTGATTGCTCACAGCTGGTAACACTGCTCATTTTTGAAGTGAGAAGTACATTTCCACTTAACTGCGGTTACTGTGATTACTGTAGGGCAAATTAGATAGTTTGGCGTTACAGGAAGTGGTCATTCACAGGAATCTATAAAAGAAACCTATCATCAAAACATAAAAATGGCAAAGAACTACAGAGGAAGACATTCAATTTGAAGTCACATTTTAACAGCTGCCTAATGATTAATGATTGACATACAAATGTGAGTTGAAGACGAGGAAAAGCTATTTTGTCACTGACTTCCTTTACCATTTAACAACCCGATTTGAATACAACCTCTACTCCATACTCCTACCTATCCCCCAAACACTTGCTGCCTTCAGAGAAACAAAATCTCATCTGTTTTAAATTGGTGATCCTTTATTATTTTAAATGGTGATCCCCTAGTTCTAGATTTAAAAAAACTTTCTCCACCTGTACCATGTCAAGAACTCTCATGGATTTAAAACGTTTCAATGCAGTCACCTCTTACGCTAAACTCAAAAAGATGCAAGCTCAGACTGTCCAACCAATACAACCTATTCATTCTAGGTACTTCTCAAATTCTGTTTCCAATGCATTTACATCCTTCTTTAGAAAAGGAAACCAATACTGTACACCATAGTCCAGATGTGAACCCATCAATGCCCTGTATATTGAAGCATAACCTCCATATGTGTACTGAATTCCCTTGCAGTAAGCATTCTTACAGATTTCCAAATTACTTACTATACCTGCACACTAGCCTTTTGTTTTCATACACTTAGGACACTCAGATCCCTCTGCATCTCAAAGCCCTGCAATCTCTCACCACTTACATAATGCGCTGCTTTATTCTTTCTCCCAAAATATAGTATGTCACATTTTCCTACATTATAATCCATTTACTATATCTTTGTCTATTTAACCTACCAAATCCTTCTGTTTCCTCCTCATGCCCTCTACACAAATTACATTGTGTCTCATCTTTATGGCATCAACAAATTTACCATCACACCTTGTGATCCTTCATTGTAAAAGGTTGAGGTTGAGGTTCCGGCATCACTCAATACATCATACCGACAAGGAAAAGAGACCCATTAATGCCTACTATTTCTTGTTTGATGGCCCATTTTCTATCCACACTAATATGTCACCCACTACACCATGAATTTTTTCTGCAAAAACATTTTATGCAGCACCTCATCAAATGCCTCTGGAAATCTAAATACAGTACATCAACTGGTCCCTCTTTATACATTGAAGGAATATCATTTGCAAAAAAAATAAAAAATAAAAAACCACCAACGCCGTAAATTAGTTGAAAGTCAGGCAAGAACTCCACTCCCAGGTCTGCTTCAAAACGTGCATGAACCTCTAAAATATTGAATCAAGCATTGCGGAGATGCACTCCACAGCCAAACAGCTTTACTGCTCAAGCTGAATATAGAACAGCCACTTGGAGGATAGCTGCTTAATTTCAGAGATAGCACTAAGAAATTAATCTAGTTACCTTTTTAGCCACATTAGCGCCAATGTAGCCCCAACATTTGGCCACTCAGTGCCATATTGTTCTTTCTCTCCTTCCAGAATTAGTTGTAATGTTCTGAATTTTGTGGGATTCGTCTCATACACATTCTTGATTTTCTGTTCAAAAAAAAACACAATCAACATTGCACATACAATTATTCTTACAACAGAGTCAAAATTCAATCATTTAGTTAGCTACGATTTCCTCTGGAGTGAAAGGTTTTGTTTTAAAACTTACTTCTTTAATCAATGGAGGTTTTCTGCATAGATCACTATAAAATGCAAAATATATAGAAACATGAGACTATGACAAGGAGTGTCATTTGATCCATGAATTACATTGACAAATCAATTTAGGATAGTCAGTCAGATGTGATGTGGCAGATTTGTATCATATTGGAAGCTACATATACATTAACAACCAGATCCCTGTTCTTTGCAGACAGAAAGAACATGAACACACAATATACCTGTTTCAACTAAATGGTGACAGCCGTTCTCTGGTTCTCTTTTCAGGTCAATACCTTGACTGATTATAATGAACTTACCTTTAAAATCATTTTGGCAGTTAACTGGTAGTCATCCAACTGATATATCCCTCCGTAGCAATGCCTCTACCAGAGTCCACTTACTAATTAAATCAGCACTCTGATTTTCCTTGTAATTGTCTTGATGAATGTAAAACAAAATAAACCTAAAACAAAATCAGTTCTTTTCAGCAATACTCAAGATCTGGACTACCGAACAGCAACATAAATTTATCCTTTATCAGTTAAGTTTACTAAATGCAATCAGCATTTAGTAAACAAGCAAAGAAACACTACCCTTTTGCATTCCAGATTTAACTAGTTAAAATTTTGTCTGTTCCTTCAAAATCCAAATCTCCCACCACTGATGCAGAACATTATGAATTCAGGCTCTGCACTAGAACTTCACTATAGTCTAAGTTGACACTTCAGTCTAGTACTTGGGGAGTTCCACGTTATTGCAGCAGATGTCTTTCAAGTCAGGTATTAAACCAAAGCCACATATGCACATAAAAGAAATGAGACAACCATATACCCCTCGAGCCCGCTTTGCCATTCAATATGCTCATGGCTAATCAGTGGCTTACATTTTAGTTTTCCTCACTCTCCCTCATTCCTAAAACACCAAAAATTTGCATGATGGTGCCGTCTTGCAAATAATAAGCAACCAATAGGGTTGGCCGATTTTCAACTTCAAAAATTCACGTCAGTCTGACTTTCTTCATCCGCCTCCAATGGCAACCACAGTTTAAATGTTCGTCATTCACTATAAAACACTTCAGGACATCGAGCTCATGAAATATGCCCTATAAATACAAGCTCTTTTTTTTTCCCCTTTTTAACAATCTCAACAACCAAGATGGCTGCACTCTTCACTTGCAACACTGCAGTATTCCTTCAGTATTGTACAGACAGCCAACTTAGATAATGCACAGAAGTCCTAGAGCTGGGCTCAGATCCAGACCCTTTTGATTTAGAAGCATGTATGCTATGACTCAATTAAGTGGAACCTCCTACTAGGATTTTATATTAAAAGAAAGCAAGAAAGTAATTTACACATTGACTTAGTTTTTTCCCCCAATGACAAATTTAAATTATAACTAATTTTCAACATTACTATCTGACTTATTTGGTAAAATTATTTGATCAAGTAAATGAGATCTTAAGAATTAAATATAGAAGTTTATATAAAAATACAGAAAAGATAATCTGAAGCAAGAACAATACAATAACTGAACGAGAGGGCAGACAATATGTTGCTCAATACGGGGTTTACTGTAGCTGAGCAATTTATAGTAAAATTTTAATCTGCAAATTGCAAACAGCCTTATCATTAAATCTCCCTTACACATCTTATCAGCATACTACAGTCTTTCCTGTAGGTGTACGCTCTTAACTAGATATACTTCCATGAAAACGTGCAGCTGCCATCAGCTCAATGACAGTGGCTGTCACCCACAAGCATGAGTAAGCTATCACTGTGGAGATCACTATAAGTGAACTGGCAGCAATGGTTCTTAGTGAGTGATCAGGAATGGGAACTATCATAGGTAATCAGATGTTGAGATTAACTGTACATCCTACAGATTTTACAATATTCTCAATTAAGCCCTCTTTAAAAAAAAACCTGTCTAATCAACATACCAGTAACTTGTGACAGTCCAGACTACTTACAGTGATGTTGCCAGTCACATCTGCTTTGATTGGTGAAAACACTGTTGACCCAAGGCAATCTAGAAATAAATAAATGCATTTTTAGGGAAGTGCACATTAGTGAACATTAAGCAGTTTAATAGGCAAGCATCTCTCTGTAAATACAAGCAACTAATACAATAAGTTTGTTACAGAGATAGTAGGAACTGCCAATGCTGGAGAATCTGAGATAACAAAGTGTAGAGCTGGATGAACACAGCAGGCCAAGCAGCATCATAGGAGCA